CAATGACGTTTTATCTCCAGATTATAACCATTCAGCAAAAAAGACTTTTCGACCAACTGAACCAGGAGGAAATCATGTCCATACTTTCACAACAAATCCAACAGGCTTGGGTAAAGAATACATGCCACCTTACATGACAGTTTACGCATGGTATAGAATTGCTTAGTCGTCATTTTCAACTTCTTTAGCATATTCGTCAGGAGTTGTCTTATATTTGTTAGGAACTGTCTTTGAAAGTATACCACCTTGAACTTTGACAAGTTTGAAACGAGGTCTGACAATAGTAGTTTTATCTTCTGCTTGCAGTCTGTACATTTTGCCATGTTTGCCTAAAACTTCATAATATTCTCTTGTATACTTTCTTCTATTTTTACGAACACGAATGTGAGTACCTGTCGGGTTCCCATTGTTGTCATAGTCAATAGTATTTTCATATGGGTCGCGTTTAGGTATTTCTATTTTTACTTTGTCACCTTTCTGAAGTTTGAAGCCCGGCATTCTTTCTTGTTTGTCTCTTTTGACTAAATTATTAAATATATAGTCTTTCTCTAAGTCAGGGTTGTTTTTCATTTCTTCGGGGGAGTGGTTTCCCAAACCTTTTTGTTTACGGCTATTGTAAATATTTAAAACTTGTCTCATCTTTGCCATGGAGAAGTGTCTATATTTGTCGTCATATGACATTTCATTTGCTTCACCACCTTGTGGTTGGTTTAAGTCTCTTAACATTTTTATACAACCGTCAATGACACCAAGAGCAGAATGGTTTTGGTCGACAATGAAATATTGGTTTACATTTTTTGAACGCAGATAGTTTTTTACATCATCTGATTTGAAAGAACTTTCACAGTCAGATGTCAGTTTTGTTGGATGGTATTTGTCAACGAATATTGTCAAAGCAGTTTTCACATCTAAAATATTTTTGGACCATAATGGTATGGCTTCACAGTATCTTGTGTTTTGACCGACAAATATTAGCCAGTATGGTGGTCCATCTTCTCTATACCTCGGAATGTTTTCCAAGATATCCATAAACCAAGCATTTGGTGTTGAACTAAAGATTTTTATCATGAGTGCTTTTTTTGTTGCCTTAGAAACATAGGGGTCCTTGTTTGGATTCGTCATTTTTTAACCCATAAGAAATGGGTTTATTTGGCGCATTAGCAGGAGTTGCATCCAGATTTTTGCCCGCAGTGGGAACAATAGCCAGAGGTGTATTTGGAGTTGGAAGGAAGATTTTGAGTACATTAGGTATACTTAAAGAGAAAGCACAACCTATTATACAAACTGTACAGAAAGGTTGGGATGTAGCACGAGATGCAACAAATCTTATTCCAAATCCTGAAACAAGAGGAAAAGTTCAAGGATGGATGGACAATGTAGGAAGACAAGCAGGAAACTATTATAACAAAGCAAATGACTACTATAACCAAGCAGGACACTATATGGACCAAGGTGAAAGATTCTTTAACAGAGGATATAACCATGCACAACAATGGGTAAACAATAACCAACCTCAACCGCCTCAAACGTGGGGAATGTAAAGTTTTTTACTGAGATGAAATGAACAATACAGCATTGAGACAAATGGGTTCAAGATGGATTTGTCGACTTCCAGCAGTTACACAACGTGTTTGTCAAGTTCTTCCTATACCTCAGGAAGTTTTAGACCGACTTAAAAAACCTAAACAACCAGTTGAAAACAAACCAAACTAAAATTTTTTACTGAGATGAAATGACCGAAGAAGTTGAAACGGTAGATTTGACACCACAAACAAAAAGTTCAGAACCATTGTCAAAACCTGTCAAAGAACTTACAGATGAAGAGAAAAATTCAATAATAGAAAGTGCCAGGTCTGGAAATACAAACCCTAACTACAAAGTCACTTTTCATAAAAATGGAACGGCAAGTATCTCAAAAAAGAAACAGACTCTCACAAATAAAATATTGAAGTCTGAAGGAGCTTTCGAGACAACAGATGGAAAAGTTTACTTCACTGACCAACAGTTCATTATAGAACATCTCATTGACTTAGAGTCGAAATATTCTAAACTTTACAACAAACACAAAAAGTTGAAAGGAAAACAAAAACAAATGGCATATGATATTTATGAAGATGTTGACGACACAACTGTTCCTGCAAGTGAAGTAAAGTCAGAGGAACCGAAAAGTGACGAAAAACCGATAGAAGAAGAAAAACCAAAAACTGAAGATAAACCAAAACCAAAGTTTAGTTTGGAAACTAAACCAAGTCAACCTTCATTAGCTGGTATGGGTTGGCGTCAAAGACTTATGGCAGCAGGCGGTTATGTTAAGTAAAGAAAAAAATTTTTTTTCTTTTTATAAAAATGCCCCCATATAGAATGGATAGAAAATCTGCTAGAATAAAAGCAGAGTTGCAAAGATATGGTTGGAGAGTTTCGAAGAATTTTAAATATAGGAAGGGAAGACCCATAAAAGTCTATGACAAATTGTCTGGTCTTCGCTACGAAATGGATTTGGAAACAGCACGTGCAAATTATCCAAACAGACTAGAGAGGTTAGAAGAAGAACGTCTTATGGACATGCCTTTCGATGTTAGTGAACCTCAAGTTGAAGGACACGACGGCTTTGCCAGATTCTACTGGAAACATGACGAACAATTGCATCCTTTGAGAAGGAAAAAAGGTAGTGCAGAGGATGGTCATGCTCCCATGGAAAGAACAAGATATGCATATGAGAAGTACCGTGAAGTTAGAAGTCAAATTACATCTGGTCGAACCTTTACAGTAAACTTTGACGAAGGAAAGAACAAAGAAGGCTTCATGGGAGTACTTGCTGCAATTCAAGATGGAAATAAGAAAGGATACAATCTCAGATTGACCATAACAGATTTGGATGGTCACATTTACTATGCACATGGCAATGTCACAACAGCTGCAATGCTTCTTGACGCTTTCAAGACTACAAAGAGAGAACAAATGGTTGACTCCGACTCAGACATTTTGAATGCAATTGAAGGAATTGCAAGTGTCAAGTTCGAATGGTACCAACCTAACCCTCAAGCAGTCAGACAACATGCTGGATACTTCCCCTTCATAAATAAGTCTGACATTGACTTGACAAGGTATGGAATTTACAATTCAATTGAAACAATTGTCAACGAACCTTGCATTCTTACATGTCTCAGGAACTCTGGTCTTGTTACAGAAGAGAAGATGAAGTATCTTGAGTCATGTGTGAAGACAAGGTACATTCTCAGAGGTCAATTGGCAAAAATTGCACCGTTGGCAAATGTCAATATCCGAGTCAGCATACCTACAGCTAAAGGTTCTTCACATGACGACTATGTTGTTGACAAAGACTTACCATGGTTGAAGATTGTAATTGTCCACAACCACTTCATGTTGAACGAAAGTCTTACAAACCCATTGTTCGGAAAAGGCAAGTGCAACATTGTCAGAGCTGTAAACATTCTTTTCGAGAAAGGTTTGTTGGAACCAATTCCAGATGACAAGCTGACAGAAACTTTTGTACCAAAAGACGAAACAAACTTTTCACTGTTAGCAAGACCAAAAGTTGTTCCAGACAAAGTTCTAGTACAAAAGAAGTACACAATTCCACAAGGAGTTGGATTGTTCGGATACCAACCTGAACCAGAAGAACTTCCAATGAGGTTGCAAGAACTTCAAGATGCTATAAACAAACTTCCATTGAGACATCCAATTGACGTCAAATTGTATTGGAGAGCATCTGAGTTAGGTCAGAAGGTTTTATATGAAACAGGTTGCTTCGACGATGTTTATGAGATAACAGGAGAAGTTTCTCAGAAGATAAGAGACTCACTTGAATTTCCACAAACTGGACCAATTGGTTGCGACAAGTTCGACTCAGATGAAAAGATATACTATGTCGACCTTAACGCTGCATACATGAGGTTTGTCCAATATATTCCGACTGGAATTCCAAACGAAGATGGTGAGTTCCCGGGAAGGAACTATACAGTTGGAAAAGTCATACAACAACTGTATGATATTAGGAAAGCTTCAAATCCCAAACTTGCAATGACACTCAAATTGCTTATGAATTCGACATGGGGATATTCCATTAAGAAACCTCAAGAGATGAAGAGTAAACATTATGAGAAGGTCGACAACTTTGTTGAAAGGTTTTCTCCTTTTGTTTTGAAGTACGAATTCACTCAAGGTCAAAGTGGCTTAGTAACCACATTAAAACCTATTGTCGAACATTGGTCTTACCCTCAGTTCGCAAAGGCAGTCCTTGACAACTACAACAAATTCTTCTCCGAAGTCAAATCGAAAGTTGTGGTTTACTATGAGAACATTGACGCACTCATGACGAACGAAGAAGGGTACAACAAACTCATTGAAATGGGTTTAGTCGGTGAGAAGATGGGTCAATTCAAATTGGACAAAATTTTCACCGAAGTTCATGTCCTCTCCAAGCGTAAGTACTGGGGCATACTTGAAGACGGCACAGAAATAAAACATTGCATGAAATAAAAAATTTTTATATTCCTTCCTAGCTAATTTCCGTTTAATTTCATGGTCGCCCTCGGAGTCTTTGAATCGGACAGGTCGAGTTACACCATTCTTGGTCTCAAACTCATATATAACCTGTTTGTCTGTATTTTCGTCGACTATGGCACGAGACACGAACATTGACCAAACGGACAAAAAGTGTCATTTCGGATGGTCACGCAGCCAATCGCATTCGAGCACTTCGAAGAAGCCTTACGTTCCAAGGGAGAGGGTGTCTGGTGCAAGGCAGAGGTCATGAAACTCTACGAGCAGTACATCCTCAATGCCGGAGGACAAATCGTCCTTGGATTGGCAATTCTACCAACTCCTCTGGGACGACCTCCTACGCAACTGGGATAACGAAAGAGTCCAATTCAAAGGTCGGGAACTAATTTTGCAAATTACCCTTAATTTAACATACTTATCCAACTAAACACCTAAATTTACTTGGGGTTTCCCCCTAAAATAAAATTTTTTTACTCTTAGAACCACTCGAGGTTCTCCTTACGGTTGTTGAGCTTGTCACCGTCAATGTGTCTGACCCTCGACTTCTTGTCTGGATTTGGAACCCATTGCATACCGACAAGCCTTCCCATGGAAACTGAACCGTAATTCCGAAGGTTAAGGTTCAAGTGTCCCAAGTTGTTGAGGACTGGGGTAAGAACCTTGCCTGTCGCCTTGTTGCGGATTTGGTATGGGTAGGGTTGGGAAATTTCGTAAGCGTCATCGACAACAAGGGTTGCCCAAACTTCCTTTTCTTCGTGTTTCTCTTCTTCTTCTTCCTCTTCTTCCTCTTCTTTGATAATACCTTCGGCAATTCTGTGTTCACGAAGTACGGTGTTGCATGTTCTGTCCTTTCCGAGTACCTTCCAGATGGCGTCTATCTCTTCGAAGAAACGGTAGATGAGTCTGGCAAGGTCTCGGTTCTCTCTCTCGTAATTGCGCAAGGTTTCCGTGAAATTGTTCAGGACTTTCTCATTGGAAGCTTGGTTCATGAGGACATTGGCTTTGAGATTGGTTATCTCTTCCATAAGACTACTTTGGAGAGTCTTAATAGTGTTTGTCAGATGAGCTTTCAATTGGGCAATTTGAATTTGAACTGGGCGCTTGTCTGGCAACCTTGAAAGGACATCTGCCATTGAGTTTGGCTTCGGTGCTTGTTCGGACATCGAAAAAATGAAGTGGTTTGAGAATGGCGGTTTTACTTCAAAAAGCTTGTTATGACAGTTATGTCATACAACAAGTTTAAAATAATATCTTGTTCTTCTTCTGAACGTTTGTTGTCTCTTCCGATAAAAGTTTGGAACATGAGAATCAAAAAACGTTTTTTGAGATTGCGGAAGAGTTCAGGCAAACGTTCATATTCCGGATATGTTGGGAGCAGTTCGAAACATCTGAGCTGACTTTCGGACAAAATTGGGACAATGTCAACAAATTCATCTTTGGTCGGACTGCTTGAAGGTAAGTCCCTTACATGTAAGTAGCTCTGGTAAAGTCTTCTCATTTCTGCTAACTTTTGGAGTATAGCTTCGTAGTTTAGAAGTTTTAATTTTAATTGTCTTATTCCACTCTTGACATCTAAACGGTAACTATCCATGAGGTCAAGAGTAGCTTTGGTAGCTTTAAGTGGAGCTATCTGTTCCTTGACCTCTGCAATTTTGGTTGCAATTGTGATTTGAGCTCCTTCAAGTTCGCCGTCTATGTCGTTCTCAACGTCTTCAACGATGGCTTGAAACTCTTCATCGGTCCATTCAGATTGGTGTGGGACGAATTTAACTTGCTTCATTCAAAAAATGAAAAAAATGTTTTTACTCTAAACGTTAAGGTTTACAGTACTGGTTGGATGTCGCCTTCACAGGTTATGTAGAACGGCTGACCCGAGAAGTGAAGGAGAGACTGAATTGCCAATTTCATATGGGGTAGGGGGTTCTCCTTGTTTGGTATTTTTATCCAAGGACGTTTGTTTAGGAACTTAACAAGAGCTTCTCTTTTGGCGTCCTTTATGCCATCGTAGGCTGTCCCGTCTGGTATTTGAATTGGAATTCCAGTCGAAGTCTCGAGCTGAAGTGTAGACCTTCCAGAAATAGTGGTGAACTTGACCTTGGGCTTCATGACCCTGCGCAAGTAGTCTTTTACGCAGTCGTTAATTTCAATTAGGTAAATTGCCTCGTCAAATCCTTCTGGTATTCCGAGTCCTTCCATCCGACAGGAAAATATTTTCCCGACAACTGGAAAAAATTTTCCGGACAAAGGGAAAAATTTTTCCTTCCGACAGGAAGAACTCTTCCAGTTGTCCGTCCGTAAACCATTCAAATTTTCGAAAATTGAGAACTTTTTGGTCGAACTTCAGAAAAAGTTTTTCCTTCCAACAGAAAAAGTTCTTCCTTCCGACAGAAAAAGTTCTTCCTTCCGACAGGAAAAATTTTTCCTTCCGACAGGACACAAACGGATGACTGACGTTCCTCTTCCTGAATGCCTTCCAAAGCCAGAAGAACCGAAAGCTGCAGAACCACAACAGTCTCCTCAGCAACCTCAGTTCCAGCAAGTACCTCCACCAAATTACTACCAATTTCCATCTCAAGGTTACTACCAATTTCCACCTCAAGGTTACTACCCACCACAAGGCTTCCCGAACTACCCTCCTCCTCAGCCTATGCCTTACTTCCCCAACCCTTGGATGTTCCAGCAAGCTCCACCCCAGCAATTCCAATCTCAATCCAAATCGAAGAGAGACCAAGAGTTCGAAGAAGGTCTGAACCGTTTACGCAAAGATTATGCCACAGCCCCTATGGAAGACGACAGGCTTTCAGTCTCTTCCCTCAAATCGACCGATTCGACTCGTACCACAGATTCAGTTCGTGACCGTGACGACTACCTCAAGCAGTCTGAGAGACTCTTCATCCTACAATCATTTACAGTTGGAGCTCTCAAGAACATGCGCAATTACGAAGGTCAGACACCAGCTGGAGACCGCAAAACAGACGTACTCGCAAGAGCCGTCCAGCTCGTCAAAACAAAGACTGAGATAGTCGACTTCATTCTTGCAGCTTGCCCATACAAGTAAAAAAATAAACAATTACGAGTTAAACTTTTTATTCTTTCTTTTCTGAGTTGTTTAGAGCTGGTTTCTCTTGTAGGAACCTTTCGTACTCTTCCATGGTCATGTAATTGCGAATTTTGTACGCAATTCCAGGTTCGTTGTTTTTGAACCTTACGTATGTAACGCTTCCATCCTCCTCAGGGAAGTAAGCTGCTAACATCTGACCAAGTTTTCTCGGTGACTCGGAGCTCATAAAAATGTCACTTTTTAAACGTTAAGTTTTTAGTCTTAATTTACCCTTTGTTTACCCTTTGTTTGTCAAGACTTCTTCGTAATGAGTGTAAAGGACCCAAAAATAATGTTTAGGTGAAGAGGTGAGATCTCACCTGTTTTTTCACCTCTTTTTCACCTCTTGAATTTTCATGAATTTTCCCGAAATAAAAAATAAAGTTAGTTTTATTTTATTTATTTTGTATAAAAGATATGATTTCAGGGATTTTTTTGACGAAGTGTCAACCTTCACTTCGTCAAAAAATAACAGTTATCTAATGAAAAAGTGTCATTTTTTTGTATTTTTTTGTATGTAAGATATGATTTCAGGGATTTTTTTGACGAAGTGTCAACCTTCACTTCGTCAAAAAATAACAGTTATCTAATGAAAAAGTGTCATTTTTTTGTATTTTTTTGTATGTAAGATATGATTTCAGGGATTTTTTTGACGAAGTGTCAACCTTCACTTCGTGTCATAATGTAAAAATAACGTTTACCATGTAAAACGCTTATAAAATAACTGGGGTAGAAAAGAGGGTAGAAATGAGGTTAGATCTAACCATCTACCCTAAAATATATTTTTGCTGAAAAATGACCAAATTTCATGAATGCTTGCTTCCCTCGAAATGGACACATATTTCTGAATGCTTGGAAGTCATAAAAATCTGAAACATCTATTCTGTACATTTTTATAAAAATAAAAAAAAATATTTTTTTTTATTCTTGACTTTGTTGTTGCATTTGTTGCATTTGTTGTTCTTGAGCTATTTGTTGTTGAAGTTGTTCTTGTAATACAATACTTTCACCAGTTGCATCTTCCAATTCGAAACTTTCTGCCGTCATTGACAAATACATAGGACATAAAAGTTTTACAGGAACAAAGTTTGCGTCAACTAATGTCAACGTTATACTTGCCAAAGTGTTTGAGTTCACTAAGGTTGAAAATTCTGCATTCGAATGAACAATAGGCAAACCAGCAGAGAATGTGTTATTTATACGCATAAGTATCTTTTGGTCATAATAGTTTCTGTCGACATTCGAATAACACTTTGAACCTAAGTTTGAAACAATATATAAAATAGGTGTGCTTAAAGTCAACGGAACAGACAAACCTTGTATGACACCTTTTCCTGTTATAGGAAACTGTTGGTAGTAAAAACCAGATATAAGTTTTGTATTATAGCTCATATTGTTTATAGTAAACTCAGTCGGACATCCAAACATAATGAAACCTGCTCTAGTTGCAGCACATGTTACACCCGTCCTTAAAGTATTAAATAAGTCAACAAAACCTGTTGGTGGTATATCTGAGTAAGTATCTTCAAAGGAGTATTTTTTACCATTCACAACAATAAAGTCTTCTGGTGTCAAAAGAGCAAAACAGGCTTTAGTCGTCATTGTGTTTAAAGTTAGTTTACAATACCGTCCTTGAGGACTTTGTAAGTTTGTTGTTATAGAATTATATGACTCAGGGTTTTTAGTCGTAATAGTATAAACCATTATATCTTCTGCCATTTACTTAGCAAATAAATTTTAATGAAATGTTGTGGTCGTCAAATATTTTTATGACGTCTGGGAAACTATACTTTAAGTTCAACGTTTCACCTCCTTTCATAACGTATATCTTGTCAATGACATTATATGAAACACCACAGCAACTAATGTCGGGTTCTATTTCTTTGATGTTTATATCGTCTGCCTCTGTCAAAAGTTTCAATAGTTCTTTCAAGACTTCATGAGGTGCAATGACATATGAGTTCACTTTTACAGGGTTGTGTTCGACCAAGTTTAACATTATACTTAAAGCCTGACAAATCTTCTCCTGAGTTTGAAGTTTGTCTTTCAGTTGTTGGTAGTCGTTTCGAATATCTGCAACAGAACTTAAGTCTCTGCTAACTTCAGGATATGTTGGTTGTTCTTTTACAGGAACAATTGTTATACCATCTTCGTCTTCGTATGGTTTCCCCACTTCAACATCTCTGTCTTTGACATTGACAACAACACTTTGACTGTTTGTTTGAGTTGGTGAATTTAACTTCACATCTGCCACCGCCATTAAACCTTTTGAAACACTCACGCTTCTATTTTTCGGAAATGACATTTTACTTAGAATAAAAAGATGGACGTATTCGAGTATCTCTTCGAATTGAAGCAGAACAAAGTTTACACACACAAACAATACAAATACATTGACAGAATAGTTCTTTATACAAACAATGGTAAATGTTATAGAATAGCAATATTTGCTGAACCAAAATATTTCCATAAAGCAAAGAAAGTTGGTATAACTGAAATGGTGAAAGTTCTTGAAGCAGACAAAAATATAACTTCAAAACTTACAGATATTTCTAAAGGAAAGTTTATAATACAATATTATGTCAAAACTGGCGTACTGTCAATATTTGACGGAGAGAAGTCAGTTCAAGAACAACTTACTGACCTGCTGCCAAAATCTGCTCGATGGAAGCTGTCGTTATGCCAATCTGAGGAGCCCCAGCAGGTTTCATCGAACGAATCTTCAAAAGAGCATCTTCCGTGAAAAGTGCTATTGGTTTTGTAAACTTCTTTGCTCTCAGTTCATCTGGACCGTCTCTGTCACCAGTATATTGTATTTGTACAGTACCAACAGTTGAAATACCACCCATAAAGTCTTCTGAGTCAGCAAATGGAATGCCAAGCCAAAAGTTTGAACGGTCTCCATTTGTATATTGAGTTTTTTGACCTCCTGTATGAGTCCATACTTTCACATATGGCATAATAGAACTTTGCATTTCAGGGTTAATGGTTGTTGTGAAGTTGTTGTTAAAGTTCATAGCATCTAATGTCAAGTTGTATGACCTCATATCTTCAACTGTAGAATATTCTTCTCTTGGATAATATTTGCCATCTATGTTTATATGATATTTAATACCGGGGTTGTAGAAACAAGAATAGTCATTTATAGTTCGTCTGAACAGTACAAACATAGTATCTGCATGTTTCATTGCAGTTGTTAAAGCAATATCTGTTCTTGCACCTGGTCAGCACTTTGGTTTCCAACTTCACCTGCAAAGTCTTTGACAGATATTTGGTGTATAGGGAACATAAGTGGAACTGCAATATATTTGGCAGCTAAAGCATTTGAAATATCTGGGTCCAACATATAGACTGCAAGTCTGCTTTCTATTCTTGCATTCAAACTTTTCGCATGTAAACTTAACTGGGTCCCAAGCAGTTCCAGCAGCATTGAAATAATAGTTTACTTCATTGTTGAAGTTTGAGAAACCAAAGTCTAAGTCAACTTTGTCTTTGCAAAAGTCACAGAACTTGGCTCCACCAGTTCCAGCTACAGTAATTGCTGAATGGGGTCTTGTGTTGGTGCAATGACTAAGTTATTTTTGCTTGGAGTAAGTTCAATAGAAATTTTTCCTGCCCAGTTTGGCAAGTATCTTAAAAACCTGAAGATGAGGAAAGATGACAAAGGAACTCTAAGTTTCAGTTTTACTTTAGTGGCAGCAGTTCCATCTGAACCAGAAAGGTTAACATAAACTCCTGGAACGTTAGGGTCAAGTCTTCTTATTTTCTCATATTTGCATACTGGTCTGTTTGTTCTCTAGCTTGTGGTTGTACTGAGTTTCTCAAAGCGAACCATTCATAGTTTTGCCCATGTTACTGTTTGAACTAAGTCAGAGTTAGAATATATCTTATATCCCATGAAAACTTCTGGAGCATATTGGTATCCGACATAGAAAATTCCATTGCAACCTTTCTTGTCAGACAACTTGGCAGAAGGTTTTATTTCAATGTCTTG